GCACAGCAAAGGCAGTCCAGAGGGAAGTTCATAGCAATACAGGCCTACCTAAAAAAAGATAGAAAATTTTCAAATAAACAACCTAACCCAATATCTACAAGAACTAGAGGAACAACAAAGCCCAGAGCGATTGGAAGGAAGGAAATAATCAAGATCAGAGCAGAATTAAATGTCATAGGGACTAAAAGAACAACTCAAAGGAGCAATAAATCCAGCAGCTGGTTCTTTGAAAAAATAAACAAAATTGACAGGCCTTTAACCAGAGTCATCAAGAGAAAAAGAGAGGAACCAAATAAATAAAATCAGAAACAAAATCAGAAACAAAAATCAGAAATTACAACCAATATCACAGAAACATAAAGGATTGTAAGAAATTACTATTAACAATTATATGCCAAGAAATTTGACAACCTGGGTCAAATGGACAAATTTCTAAAAAAAAAAAAAAAAACCAACTTCAAAAACTGAATCAAGAAGTAGGAAGCCTGAATAGACCAATAACAATTAATGAAGTTGAAGCAGTAATCAAAAAGCTCCCAGCACAGAAAAGCCCTGGGCTAGATGGCTTCACAGGCTAATTTTACCACTTAGGGAAGAGCTAACTCCTAGCCTTCTCAAACTATTCCAAAAAATTCAAGAAAAGGTAAAACACCCAAACTCTTTCAACGTAGCTAATTTCAAAAGCAGATAAATACAAAACAAAGAGAAAACTACATGCCAATATCGTTAATGAACATTGATGCTAAAATCCTCAACAAAATATTGGCAAACTGGATCCAGCAATACATTAAAAAGATCAAACACTGCGAACAAGTGGGATTCATCCCAGGGATGCAAGGATGGTATAATATTTGCAAATCAATAAATGTAATACACCACATAAACAAAATGAAAGACAAAAATCACATGATCATATCAATAGGTGCTGAAAAAGCATTTGATAAGGTACAGCACCCATTTATGATAAAAGCAGTCAGCAAATTAGGAGTAGAAGGAACATACTTCAACATAATAAAGGCCAGATACGAGAAACCTGCAGCCAACATCATACTCAATGGGCAAAAACAAAAAGCTTTCTCTCTAAGATCAGGAACAAGACAAGGAGGTCTGTTTTCACCACTTTTATTCAACATAGTATTGTAAGTTCTAGCCACAGTGATCAGACAAGAAAAAGAAATAAAAGACATCCAAGTTGGAAAGGAGGAAGTAAAGCTGTCATTATTTGCAGATGACATGATAGTGTACATAGAAAACCCAATTGGCTCCACGAAAAAACCTACTCAACCTAATAACTGAATTTGGCAAGATAGTGAGATACGAAGTTAATATTCAGAAATCCAAGGCATTATTGTACACCAACAATGAAATATAAGAAACAGAAACTAGGGAAAATATCCTGTTTCTGTTTACTATATTTACTATAGCAACAAGAAAAATAAAGTAACCAGTAAAAAACTTAACCAAGGAGGCAAAAATCTGCACTTGGAAAACTATGAACACTGAAGAAAGAAATTAAGGAAGATACAAACAAATAGAAGCATATACCATGTTCATGGATTGGCAGAATCAACATCATTAAAATGTCCATACTACCTAAAGCAATCTACAGGTTCAGTGCAATCCCTATAAAAATACCAGTGACACATTTTACAGATTTAGAAAAAATATTTCAAAAATTTGTATGGAACAAAAAACAAACCCAGATAGCCACAGCAATCTTGAGAAATAAGAACAAAGTAGAAAGGATCACAGTACTTGATGTCAAACTATACTACAAGGCCACTGTGACCAAAACAGTCTGGTGCTGGTTTAAGAACAGACACATAGATTGATGGAACAGAATAGAGAATCCAGAAATACACCCATGTCTTATGGTCAATTAATATTCAACAATGGGAGCAGAAACATAAAATGGAGTAAAAATAGCCTCTCCAACAAACAGTACTGGGAGACCTGGATTAGTACATGCAAAATGCAACAAGACCACCAACTTACACCATATACCAGAATAAATTCAAAATGGATAAAAGACTTAAATGGAAGCAGCAACACCATAAACGTCCTAGAGGAAAGCATAGGCAGTAAAATTTCAGTTATCTCATGCAGCAACATTTTCACTGATATATCCTCTAGGGCAAGTGAAATAAAGGGAAAAAATAAACAAATGGGACTACATCAAATTAAAAAGCTTCTGTAAGGAACTCCTACCCTTTGCGACAGCATGGATGGAACTGGAGAGCATTATGCTAAGCAAAATAAGCCAGGTGGTGAAAGACAAATACCATATGATCTCACCTATAAGTAAACCCAATCAACAAAACAAACAAGTGAGCAAAATAGAACTAGAGACATGGAAATAAAGAACAAACTGACAGTAACTGGAGGGGGATAAAGAAGGAAAGAAGAGGAAGGGTCTTCAAGGAACATGTATAAAGGGCCCCTGGACAAAGACAACAGGGAAAATGATTGAATGTGGGAGGTGGGGGTAGGTAGGGTGGGAGAGAGTAATGGGAGGAAAATGGGGACAACTGTAGCTGAACAACAATAAAAAAATAAACTTCTCCAAAAATAAAAAATAAAACAAAAAAACTAAAAGCTGCTGCATAGCTAAAGAAAACATCAGCAAAATGAAAAGAGAACCAACCATATAGGAAAAAATATTTGCCAACAATACCTTGTACAAGGGTTTGATCCCCAAAATATATTAAAAACTCATAAAAATCAATGCCAGGAAGACAAAAAAATCCAATTAAAAAATGGACAAAGGACCTCTATGGACACTTCTCCAAGGAGGACATACAGAGGGCCCATAGGCATATGAAAAGATGCTCAGCATCACTAGCAGTCAGAGAGATGCAAATTAAAGCCACAATGAGATACCACTTCACAGCTGTCAGAATGGCCATCATAAACAAATCAACAAACAAGTGTTGGTGAGGTAGTGGAGAAAAGGGAACCCTAGTGCACTGTTGGTGGGAATGCAGACTGGTGCAGCCACTGTGAAAACCAGTATGGAGTTTCCCTAAAAAACTAAAGACGGTACTGCCTTTTGATCCAGTGATTCCACTGCTGGGAATATAACCTAAGAATCCTGAAACACCTGTTCAAAAGAACCTATGCACCCCTATGTTCATAGTAGTGTTGTTTACAACACCCCAGTGCTGGAAACTGCCTAAGTGCCCATCAGTAAATGAGTGGATCAAAAAACGTGGTACATTTACACAATGGAATACTACACAGCAGCAAGAAAGAAGGAGCTCCCATCTTTTGCGACAGCATGGATGGAACTGGAGAGCATTATGAAAGTGAAATAAGCCAGGGGGTGAAAGACAAATACCATATGATCTCACTTATAAGTGGAAACCTAATCAACAAAACAAGGAAGTGAGCAGAATATAACCAGAAACATGGAAATAAAGAACAGGCCGACCAGAACAATAATAAGAAAAAAAGAAATAAAACAACATTTTAAAACTAAAAACTAGGAAGGAATTTGCCTGCAATGGTGCTGTAATTGAATATCCAGAATCTGGAGAAGTAATCCAGCTACCGGGTGACCCACACAAGGACATATATCATTTCCTTGTAGAGACTGGACTGGCTAAAGACAACCAACTGAAGGTTCATGGGTTTTATGTGCTTGTTTAATGTAATGATTTGGGGTCTGCAGTTAACTTGGATTTGAAGAGAGAGACAGATAATAGATAGATGATAGAGAGACAGATAGATAGATAGATAGATAGATAGATAGATAGATAGATAGATAGATAGATAGATAGACAGACAGACAACTAATTGGCATGGTTGGTTCCATCTCAGCCCATCCATTCCTCAGGTATGGTTCTGGCGCACCATTCGGAATGAGTCACATCGATACAACCTGAATTTGGTTCGGTTCTCCTAGAAACACACCCTGAGACAAGGATTTCAATGCAAGGAATGTCATCCTCAGACAACACCAGGAGGTAAGTGGAAAAGTGACACAGGGAAAGGAAGGACACCGTTAGAAAAAGTTGGTGCTATTGAACAGGTGACTGCTGAAGGCAGCTGGGGCTCCACCCGCGCTGACCGCTGAGTGATCATGTGGAATGTGGCTCGGTGGTCCAGGGCAAGAGCAGAGAGTGTTGGGTTATTGTCCCCTAACTCACATCTGTCATTGAGATGTATCCGTTCAGCCCAACAATAATAAATACAACATCGCCTGGTGGGCAGGGTGATTTCCCTGAAGATGTCCGTGTCCTCATCCCCAAAGCCTGCGCACATACTGTGCTGCATGGAAACCCCAGAGTGAAGATAGAAATAGGGTTCCTAACTCCCCGACCTTAAAATAGTAAAGTCACATGGAATTATCTGGTGGTCCCAATGTAATCTAAAGGGTCCTCTAAATGTGGAAGAGGAGGAGGAAAGGTCAGAGTTTGCGCAATGCAAAATGAGAAAGATCCATATTGTTGATGGCTTTGAAGGTGGAGGAAGGGACCACCAGCTGAGAGTGCAGACGGCTTTCAGAGCTGGAACAGGCAAGAAAACAGATTGTCCCCTAGAACCTCCAGAAAGGAACACAGCCCCGCCAACACCTTGACTTCAGCCTGTGACACCCATTTTGGATCTGACTTCCAGAACCGTAAGATAATAAACCTGGATTGCTGTAAGCCAGTAAGTTGATGGTAATTTGTTACAGCATCAATCAAAAGTGAATACACACACCAGAAATAATGTTTTTCTTTCAAAATGTGTATGAAGAAAATCATAAAACTTTGCTTAAGTACATTGTAAAGGTAACCTGAATAACTGGTTCATGAATGAATGAGTAGATAGATATATACATGCACGTGTATATTCCCAACCAAAATTACAAACTGATTGAAAACTGTATCTGGGAAATAAAATGCACAGTAGTGAAAGAAACATTGAGAAAAGACAATGTCCTAGTGTTCATCAACCATATGATAGGACTGTAGTCATTGAAACAGTGGCAAAAGAATATACAATAAGTTCAGTGGAAGGCATCATGCAGTGTGTGACTTTATTAAGAGGATGTCATGGGGACTGAGTGGGGACACTGGGACTATCAGTAGAAGAAGAGAGATGGTCTATAGCCTATGGAGGGATGGGCCTTAAAGGAGAAGGGGGTCTCAGAATCTCAGTATCTGAAAAACCTCCGTTCCCAGGGAATGTAAACAAGCGAGTGGGGCCAGAGAAGAGCTAGCAGAGTGCGTGCCCTATTTGCTTGATCACTGGGGACCACCGAGGGGCAGGGACTGGGTAGGGGACAATGGCCCTCCGAGGCCTGGGCACAGCCCTGAGGGCCTCTCACAGATCCAGAAGAGTTCTGCGCTGCATTTCCTATCATTCCAGCCATCATTGTACAATTCCACACAGTCTTCATCTCCTTGACTATTCGGTTCCCCTTGTTTCCAGAAGCTGTGAACACCATCAGAACAATGAGTCCCCTCCCCACCCAGAGCCCACCCCCCAAAACCACTGGTTCCTGGTATTTGGCAGCACATTTCCAAGAACCAGCCAGAGGGTGGTGAATTCAGAGTCAGGGTTTTCAAAATGTGGGCTTAACCACCACCTCCCTCAGTCAACTCTGGCAAAATGAAAATAACGATTCCTGGGCCCACACCTAGACTTAGAGAGTCAGACCCCGCCCCCCGCCGCCCACCGCAGGTGGACACAGGACTCTGCATCTTGACCCACTTTCTCAGGTGGTCCTTTTCAATCCCAGAGTCTGAGCACCCCTGCTTTGGGGTGCAGGTCTCTTCCTTGCCCTTTCCCTCCCAGGTCATTGATGCTGGGAGGTCACCTGAGAAGGAGGGGGCTGTTGTCCACCCATTGCCAGGACCCTTCATTGTGGTGGTCAGTGAGGCCGATCCAAGTGGGCTTATCATTTCTGATATTCCAGAATTGCAGGAATTTCTGGGGATGGGGGAGAGGCGGGGCATCAGGAGGGAGATTCGTGAAGGCCACCCACTCCGTGTCTGCCCACATTCCTGTGGTCCCCTGCCTCCCCCAGAAGCCTTTCTATGGTCTAGCCTGTAGTCCCTGCATAAGTTGCTACATTAATGTGCCTAATGCCGTGGGTGTGTGGGAATGTGTCAACTTACAGCTCAGTCCACTGAGTCCACCTCAGTCAAGGGAGGGATTACTCAGTTTCCTTCCTTTCTATACATGGGCTCCTCTCACATGACCTTCCCAAGTCCATGATGATTCCTCACCCAGGAAGCCTTCCTTGGCTGCATCTCCCCATGCCCCTCCACCTCTCAGAGAGCAGAGGAGGGCGGCAGAAGGCTTTTTCTTGACCCATCGCCTGGCCCAGCCCCAGACAGGAACCTGGCCCAGTATACCTGCTCCTCAGCACTGTTGACAACCACCAGCTGGGCGCTCATATCCTGACAAGCGGAGACAGAAGCTTTCCAGGTCCTTTGGGTCTGGGAGAAGGCATAGCAGTTTCCCTGGAAGAAGTCCCAGTTCCAGGGGCAGGGGCGGCACAGGCCAGCTGGGGAGCAAGGGCGAGGTTGGGCTGGCCAGCTGGGGTGCTGGGCCGCTGGGTTTCCAGGCCCCAACACCAGCATCAGATCTGGGGCCGGGCGCCTTGGTTCAGCTGCCAGCTCAGTCTCCAAGAAAACCACGAGAAAGTTCCTATCCCCACCCTGCCGTTCCCGGACTGACAGCCATGGAAGGAAGGTGAGCCTCAGAGCCACCGGTGAACCCACAGCTCCCTCCTGCCCTTGATGTCTGAACCTTACTCAGGGTGGCATTCATCCAGGCCAGCTGCCGGTGGATCTCCTCCAGATCTGATTTCAGCCGCTCCTGCGAAACAACCCCTGGAAGAAGACTTCAGCTATTAAGCACCCACCATGGGCTTGGCGCAGAGAGGGCCTCATCTCTGCATCTCATAGTGACCACGGCAGCCCCTTATACAAACGAGAAAACTGGGCCTTAGGGAGCGACTCGCCCAACACTGCAGGCCCTGAGGCCTCACACAGGGATCCTGTCCCCTCCCCAGTTCCTGCCTGCCCCCCTTGCCCCAAAGCAGTGGCTCGTCCACGGTCACGCAGCTCAGAGCCCCCTCCCAGCACAGAACCCAGCCTCCAACCCTCACCCAGGCTGCGGCTCCCCTGACGCTCTGTCTCCCTCGGCAAGGATTGTTGGATCCTGGAGACTGCAACAGAGCAGAGAGTTCCCCCTGCATGCGTGCGCACTCCGTGCCTGGCCCCGCACCCCGCTCGGTTTCCAGGTCTCTGAGAAACTAGCCCACCCCACAAACCCCCCGGGAAGAAGATGAGCTGCATTTCACAGATGAGGAGACAGACTCGGAGGGGTAGCAATCAGCCCACAGTCACACAGGAGGTGACAGAGGCCCAACATCCCAGCCCTAGTGGTGCTGAGGACTGTGGAAAAGGGCCTCAGGACTCCTGGCCCTGGCCCCTGACTCACCTTGAATCAGGGTGATCAGCATGAGCACGAAGAAACCCAGAAAGAGGAGAAGCAGCATCAGCAGCAGAGGGGCTCGGGTCAGACACCCTGCAAGGTGGGCCGAGCGGGGGGCTAGGGACGGGCTCCACCCCGCCCCACCTGTGCTCGACGGGGCCGCCCAGCTGCCCCCTTCCCCTTGTGCCTGCTCCTGAACCGCCCACCCCAGTACCTGTCAAGCTTCTTAAGTTCCTGAGTGGCCCAAGGTCTTTCTCAGCTGATCTCTGGCCTTGAAATACCTCCCTCTCCTCTAAACAGGACAGAATATGTTTTGCTGAACTTCAAAGCCTGCTGAGCCCTGCTGGAGACCAGACCCTCCGCCCTCCTTGCAGGCTGGAAGCCAGACCTGGACCCCCCAGGACCCTAGAGCCCTGCCCTCCCCACCATCACGCCAGAAAGGGAGCCCAGCCTCATCAAGGCCATCTGGCTCCTTGGGGACACAAATCTCCGCCATCCTCTTCCCCTCCCAGCTCTTCCGTCCGCTCCGCGCTGGCCCGTGGCTTTATAGTCTCACGTATTGCCCTCTGCGGCCCCTCCTCAGGTCCGTTCTTCCACATCTCAGAACAAGGAACCTGCGTGGGGACACTACTTCCTCTCAGAACAGCAGGGAGCAGAAATGAAATGCCCGACACAACTACGACAGAAGTCGTTTGGGCGGGCAGAGGCTTTGCAGTGAACGCTGGTGCCAGAAGGCACTGCTCCAACTCCTGCCCAGTCCGGGGACCTTCAGCCCCCACCTTATCAGAACCTCAGTTTCCTCAGCAGTAACAGGGAACAATTGCTCTTCCTCTTACTGTTTCTGTGAGGTCTAACACAGTGCCCTAGTAACAGGGATAAATTTCCTATTCCAATGATAAATGTACTCAGTAGTAAGAGCACTTAGCCCACGCCTCCTACCCCGACCCCACCCCACCCCCGGCACCCTGTGCTGTGCACTATCCCTCGTTGCAACAAATAAAAAACCATAGGTGTGCTCCTGGAGGTTTTTGGCTGAGGAGCACTAACAGTTCTCACAATAGCCCTATGAAAGATACGGTTATTATCCTGCTTCATAAAAGAGGAAACAGAAACAGAGAGGGCAAGCAATTGTCTGAGGACACACAGCTGGTAAGTGATGAGGCTGGGAGTTAGACCCATGTGGGTAGACCTCTGCGTCCCTGCATAACCACTGCACTAAGCAGTACCCTTTCCCGCTTTGTAATTACTAAGTATTTTGTAGAGCGTCACTTTGAAACTATGTGTATCAAGCTTTGAATTTATTTATGTATGGATTCCTAGTTTCCTATCTCATGCAATCAGTTTTATGTTAATATCTTTCGTTTTAGTCTAAAGTGAACGTCTGTGCAACCGTGGGGCACAGGGGAAATGGCCACCTTGAAGAGAAGTCATCTTCCGACGGAAGAACAAAGCAGGACTCTCCTTATCGGGAAGATGGGGCTGGAGCGGAACAGACGACCTAGCAGTCTGTGCGAATTTTTCATTACTCCAGACTCCTGTCACAGTGCTTTTTTATAGTATCTCAGGTACTAATGATTGACAAGACAAAGGGACAAAGAATGCAGTAGTGCCAGAAGCCACACCTCCTAATAGCCGTGTGATAGGTGATTGCTTAAATCAGTACTGTCAACAGTTTGATATTCAACTCAATTGTCATACCACCGTGGCTGTTGCTAACAACAACAACAAAAATGATGGCTACATATTAAGAAACACAGATAATCATCAGCCAGAAAGCTTTGATATGCTTGCTAAGGACAGTGAGGTTGGCCACAGCATGAAATGTAAAAATGAAATGAAATCCAGACACAGAGATGAAGTTGGTTTTGTTGACATCTACATCTGTACACTCTAGACAGCATATAATTAGATCACTTTTTATTTTATTTGAGTTTTAATTATATTTTATTGATTATGCTACTATAGTTGTCCTGAGTTTTACTCCTTTTCCTGCCTCCTCCCAGCACCCCCCACTCCCTCAGGCAATCGCCCCACCATTGTTCGTGTCCATGGGACACGCGTATATGTTCTTTGGCTGCTCCATTTCCTATACAGTACCTTACATTACCATGGCCACTCTCTAACTACCTATTTGTACTTCTCCATCCTCTTGCCTCTTCACTCATTCCCCTACACCCGCCTCCCATATGACTACCATCAAAATACTCTCTGTATTCATGATTCTCTGTCTTTCCTCTGTGCTTAGTTCATTTTTTTAGATTCATCTGTTGATAGACATGTATTTATTGCCATTTTATTGTTCATAGTTTTAATCTTCTTTTTCTTAAGTCCGTTTAACATTTCATATAACCATGGTTTGGTGATGATGAACACCTTTAGTTTGTTCTTGTCTGGGAAGATCTTCATCTGCCCTTCCATTCCAAATGATGGCTTTGCTAGGTAGAGCAACCTTGGCTGTAGGTCCCCACTTTTCATGACTTTGAATATTTCTTGCCAGTCTCTTCTGGCCTGCAAAGGTTCTTTTGAGAAATCAACTGGCAGTATTATGGGAAATCCCCTGCAGGTAACTAACTTCTTTTCTCTTGTTGCTTTTAAGAGTCTTTCTTTATCTTTAACCTTTGACACTTTAATTATGATGTGTTTTGAAGTAGGCCTCTTTGCATTCTACTTGTTCGGGACTCTGTGCTTCCTGGACTTGCATTTCTGTTTCCTTCACCAAATTAAGGAAGTTTTCTTTCATTATTTTTTCAAATAGATTTCCAATCTCTTGCCCTTTCTCTTCTGCTTCTGGCACCCATATGATGCGAATGTTGGATCTCTTAAAGTGGTCCCACAGTCTGCTTATCCTATCCCCATTTTCTTGGATTCTTTTTCCTTCTTGTTCTAATTGAATGTTTTTTGCTTTCTTATGTTCCAAATCATTGGTTTGATTGTGGGCTTCATCCACTCTGCTGTTGTTTCCCTGTAAATTGTTCTTTATTTCAATTAGTGTATCCTTCATTTCTGACTGGGTCTCTTTTATGCTATTGAGATCCTCACTAAGATCCTTGAGCATCCGTATAACCAATGTTTTGAACTCTGCATCTGGCAGATTGCTTATCTCCGTTTCATTTAGCTCTTTCTCTGGAGTTTTGATCTGTTCTTTCATTTAAGCCGTGTTTATCCCCACTAGGCAGCCTCCCTGTGTTTATTCCTATGTATTAGGTAGAGCTGCTTTGACTCCGTGTCTTGGTAGTATGGCCTAATGTAGCTGGTGTCCTGTAGGGTCCAGTGGCACAGCCTCCCCTATCATCCAAGCTGGGTACTTGAGGTGTGTCCTTCATGTGGGTTGAGTACACCCTCCTCTTGTAGTTAGCCTTGATTGCTGTTGGCAGATCATTGAGAGGGGTTTACCCAGGCCAGTCAGCTTTAAAGACTGGCTGTGACCACTGACCACCAACCTGTACCCTCTGTGGAAGATCAGCTGTGCAGGGGCAGGGCAGTGGTGCTCTGACATAATCAGTAGCTGCCCACTGGACGCACAGGCTCCGAGATTTCCCAGGTGGTGCAGGGCAAGTTTGGCCCCCACCTGTATTTTTCTCAGGGCCACCCTTCCTGAGCTACAAAGCAGTCTGAGAAAGCCGCTACTTGTGCTGGGCTGGAAGATTCCCAGGAGAAGCCAAACTGTGAATCTAGGCTGGCTGCTCCTATTGCTTGGCCTGAAACTCACTGAGGCCATCTTTCGCTTGTTTGAAAGGATTTAGGGTGTTAAGAAGCATGAGTGAAGACCAGCCATTCTTATGCAAAAGCAGCTTGGATGGGCCCCTATGTTAGTTGGGGTGGAGTCTCTGGGGATCTCAGAGGTGGGGCAAACAGTATTAGCTGGGTTGATGGCATCTCAGATATGGCACCAGCCTGCCGGCTCTGGGGCTCTGTTGGGGGAGGGTTCACAAAAGGGACAATGGCCTCTGCTTACCCTGATGCCAGTCACTTCAATTTCTCTCTGCATGCCACTAGTATCTTTCAAGCTGCTACCCTGCTGCTGGAGCTCAGAGGGAGTAAGCCTGAGAAGGTGAGTCTGTGTGTGGGTTCTTTTTTTTTTTTAAGACTCTGCCCACTTATTTTTAGAGAGGGGAAGGGAGGGCAAAAGTGAGGGAGAGAAACATCAATGTGTGGTTGCATCTCGCGCACCCTCTACCAGGGACCTGGCCCACAACCCAAGCATGCGCTTCACACTGGGAATCAAACCAGCGACCCCTCGATTCGCAGGCTGGCACTCAATCCACTGAGACACACCAGCCAGGGCTGTGTGTGGGTTCAAGAGGAACTGCTTGGGGCTCCAGAAGTTTCTTCCACTGACTCAACTTCCACTGGTTTTTGCAGGCAGAAGTTGTGGGGACTTATCTTCTTGGCACTGGAACCCTGAGCTAGGGGCCCTGGTGTGGGGCTGGGACTCCTCACTCCCAAGATAATCTCTCCTGAACTTTTATCCATCCAACGTGAGGTGTGGAACCAGCCCATTCCACATCTGCACCCCTCCTACCCGTTTGGATGGATGTAGTTTTCAATTCTGTAGTTGTCAGACTTCCATTCAATTTTATTTATGATGGTTATAAATGATGGTTGTTCTATATTTTAGTTGTAATTTTGATGTGATTGTTGGAGGAGGTGAGTCATGTGTGCTTACACTGCCATGTTGACTGGAAGTGTCCTAATTAGATAATTTTTTATCCATTTTGCCAATCTCTGCCTTGAATTGGAGAGTGTAACCCATTTATATTTAATGTAATATAACTGATAAGGTAGGGTTTATACCTGCCATTTTGCTATTTGGTTTTTATATGTCCTATGTCTTTTTGTTCCTCAGTTCTTCCATTACTCTCTTCTTTTGTATTAAACAGATACTTTCTAGTGTATCACTTAAATTTTCTTCTCTTTTTTACTATTTATTTTTGAGTTATTTTCTTAGTGCTTGTCCTTGAAATTACTATTAACATCTTAATTTTAATAGTATGCAAAACTCTGTTCCTCTATAGTTCCATATCCGTCTCCTTTTATGTTGCCATTATCACAAATTACACCTTTATAGATGTGTGCTCATCAATTTTGATTTCTAATTATTACATTATACAGTTGTATTTTAAATTATATGGGAGGAAAGGAGTAACAAACAAAAAATGTATTTATATTCTCTCTATATATTTACCTATGTAGATTCACATTTCTGTCCTGAAAGACCCCCTTCATTTCTTTTATACAGATAACATAACATTTACCATTTTAACTATACAATTCAGTGACATTTAGTTCATTCACAATGTTGTGAATGTTGGGCAACCATCATCATCCAGTTCCAGAACATTTTCATCATTCCGAAAGGAAACCTCATACCATTTAAGAAGTCACTCCCCGTTACCACCTCCCCCCAGAGCCTGAAAACCTAATCTACATTCTGTCTCTATCAATTTACCTATTCTGTATATTTAATATAAATGGAATCATAAAACACCCTTTGTGTCTGACTCCCTTCACCTAGCATAATATTTTCAAAGTTAATCAGTGTTGTCAAATATCAATACTTAATTCCTTTCTGTGGCTGAATAATTTAGTTTTTCTG